AAGTAACCCTAATCTGCCGCCCCTATTTCCCCACCGTCTCAGCCCGGCGGCGCCGGCCCAAACCGCCTCAAAATCACACCACAGAACTACCCTGACCCTCTCTTCCCAAATCCCGGGTAAATTCCCCTCGAATGTTGCCCGAGCTTCTCGAATCTTGAATCAGAGCTTGACCCTAAAAATTCCAAATTTTTCAATTCGGGGTTTCCTTAAAGTTTTAGGTTCATTCTGATGGTATCCGTGTGTTTTGATAAAGAAACACACGGTTAGTCTCAAATTGAGCCAAGAATCTGAAGGTTCAAAGATCCATCACCACCTTTTACAGTCCGAGGCACGTTTAGGTATTTCCATTTTTTTTTGTTATTTGTTCTCCAGTTTTACTCCGTTTGTTTTTCTTCTTCTACTTCAGTCTCTTCTTCTGAACTCCTTTCCATTCTGTTTAGTTCCTGAACGTTAGTTTTTGTGATGCATGTTAGTTTTAAGAAAATCTTTTTCTTTAATCAGTACAATTAATCTGTTAATTAGATTAGTTCCGATTTGTTAATTTTAGTTCATCATTTGGGTTTGGAAATTGTTCGAATTGCTTTTGTTCTTTTTTGCCTCAGATAATTTGGTTTTGATTTGGGCCTGGGGTTTGTAACTTTAGGTTTCAGGCTCGCTGGGTTGGATTGGGCTTTGAATTAACTCAACCCAGGGTCAACTTGACCTGTATTTGGTTGGAGGGGTAATTTTCAGGGTCATATGGGGTAGTCTAGAAAATATCTCATGGTAACTGAATAGGGAAGCTTCTAGGAAGCTGGGGTGGGGGGCTATTTTTGATTCTGAAAATTAAACTAAGGGCACCTAGGCTAAAATGAAAACTTCAGAAGGGGCCAAGTGCAAACTTGATTTTCTTTAAGCTACCCTAATGGCATGCCTATAAAGGCATCCTGACTTGACACTCAAGTCAAGGGAATTCAGAGATAACAAATCCAGAAGAAAAAAAACATCTGAAAATTTCAATGAAATCACTGTTTCATTGAACTTCTCCTGTGATTTTTGAAGTTTTCAATTTCTGAAACAATTTCTGATTCATCTGGGGTGGAAATGGATTGAATCTAGGTTTGTAAAGGTTTGGTTTGAAGTTTGCTGGGTGATTGTTCGATTGAACTACTTTTTTAGACCGTTGCATATCCTGTTTCTGGTTTGAAATTGGTTTTACTGGATATTTCTTACTGCTGAAGTTTTGGTTCTGTTGTTGCCTACTGTTCCCTCACCTCTTTTTCCCTTTCAAATTCTAGGTACATGTTCTTGAAACTCATACAATGTGATACTCAAACTGACGATTTGAAATGGAAACAGAATCCTGAAGTTTTAATAGTAGTCTAATGGTCCATAGCCTAATCTCATTTCCTTTATGAATGTCTTCTGATTCATGTTCTTCTTACATGTTGTATGGTCACTTTAGGATTGAATATGGTTCTGTTAAAGCGTAGGTAATTCAGAATACTTTGGACCATACATAGTATATGTTAAATTAGCCATTAATTGTATCTTATAACTCATTATGGAATTTAGGTGCAAAAGACTACATTAGAGCTATCTTGTTGTATGATTCATTTAAGAGGATATGGCATATGTATTGTGCTTAAATAACATTCTGAAATAGCTAATCAAATGGGGTATATTAGCTATTGGATGGGGTTGAAATTTGTCAATACATGTTTCACTTTTTAATTATGGTTGTTCGCATTAGCCTAAATTCGATAATGAGTCTATGACCGTTAGTCTTTTTTTTTTAAAAATGGTTCTTAGTTCATTAAGCTTTGGGCGGTGAGGTCTCTTGTAGAGAAAGTGACCTGTTGTTGATACATGACTGGCTTTTCAAGCCAGATCTGAGGCTGGCCCATTTGACGCCAGTTATGGATTGCTCAGTTTGTTTGGAGGTATGTCTTTGGACATTCATCTCATGTTAAGAGTTTGAGCTCAATCTAGGCCCAAAACCTTAAAATGCAGCCGGAGGTATAAAACGGTAAACCTTGCATCATGTGTTTTGCTTAACTGGCCCAAGCCCTCATCATTACAATTTGGTTTAACCCGGTTTTGTGGATTTGATTCGCTAATTTCCTATGCCTTTTAATCAGTTAGCCAAGCCCTTTAATAATCAAGGCAAGCCATACTATGTAACATGAATAGTCTATGACTCTCCAAATATAATTTGAATTCCCTTTTAAAATTGGATTTGAGGTGTGCTACGCCAAACAAAACTCTTGAAATGCGTGGCCCTCGCTTAATTATTTCTTTTAAAGTCCTTAGAGTGTGAGGCGTGCCATTTAGCTAATTTTTATGGCCCTCGCAAAGTTGCTAACGCATAGTTGCCCTAGGCGCGCCATTTTAATAAAGTTACCTTCCTAAATTCCGGTGCACATTTATGTGACCCAAATCCAAATCCCAACAATATTAAAATATGTCAAAGACCACGGGTGCATTTATATCATGTGGTTCAAGACGTGTTTTAGTAACAATGCAATCTTCTTAAAAATGATTAAAAGCGGTTAATTAGTTAAAATTGTATCATAGGCTAAACATGTACTAAAATCAGATAATAGGCCAATTATAACAGTTGAGCGACCATGCTAGAACTACGGAACTCGAGAATGCCTAACACCTTCTCCCGGGTTAACAGAATTCCTTACCCGAATTTCTGTGTTCGCGGACCGATAATAGAGTCAATCTTTTCCTCGATTCGAGATTTAAACCGATGACTTGGGACACCATAAATTATCCCAAGTGGTGACTCTGATTTTTAAATAAAAATAATCCCGTTTCGATTGTCACTTAAATTTGAAAAACTCCCTTTACACCCTTATGGGGGTGTAGGTAAAAAGGAGGTGTGACAATATGTATAATCAGCAAGTTCTTTTGGAAATTTGAACTTACAATATTCCATGTTCTTCATACAAGGACATTTAGGATTTAAGCTACCATAAGGTCCATGCATCGTATGTTTAGTAACAAGTGAATATGGATAATCATTCGTATCAGAGTCAGGCAGTTCAGCACAAACAAATTTATCATAAGCTTCCAGAGTTAACAATTTATATTCGTTATTAAGTATGATAAGAAAATGAGAATGTGGAAGACCGCGCTTTTGAAATTCAATAGTGTACATAAAAGTAGCAACTTTTCCAAATATATTTCTCTTCAATATATCTGTTTTAAGCTCCTCTAGCTTAGCTCTAAACACTCGACTAATTAAATCGGGCCTATTTTGCACCTCATCTGTTACCAATAAATGTTTTTCTATTTCTGGCCATGATGGATTACATGTCATTGTTAAAAATATATCAGGTTTCCCAAAATTTTGCACTAACGCAATAGCGTCCATATATCGTTGGCGCATATCTCTAGGACCTCCTATAAAACTTGCAGGTAAAAAACTATGTCTGCCTATGTTATATGCTTCTCGCTCATCATGTCTTAGAACATCAAGAATCCCCGCAAATGCATCAATTCGAAATAAATCTTGATTAAATGAATATAAATCTAACCTTTGAGTTTCAAGCTTGATAGATTCGTCAACTGAGTATTATTGGAATACTCTTCCAGTATATAAAACCCCATTTTCTTTGCCATCCCTCATTTGGAGCTTGTAACAATAATACTCACGGCATGACACAATATTTCTTTTTCGTTTCTTTTTTTCCAGAAGTTCTGCTTCCATGTCAAGTAGCATGTCAACTGAACACATGTTTTGTACACTTGGTAGTTGTTCATTTTCACAATAAGTTCCGTGGCTAATAGTATTATTCGTTTGAATAATCTTTGTAATACCACAGTGTCGTCCGTTTTGTCTATAAGGAAATAACAATGGATATTGCAGTGGATCATAACAACCATAGTAAAAATTTACCAATTGAATTTTATTACTATGTGTATAAATTCGAATATGTGGTTGAGAAATCTTAGAACTACTTCCATCATCTATCCATATTGCTGTTACTTCAGATGATGTTGGTAAGTTATATGTTCTTTGATCTAAATCAGAGTCAGACTTAAGCGCAATGTAGAAGTTTGATAATTCTGGGATATCTGTTAAAGATTTCAAAAAGATAGAGTATGGATTAACTTTTAATGTGTCAATCAAAGTCCTGATAACCGATTCGTTAAGCTTGTCAGAGAATGCCATCCGATTTGCTAGTTCATTATCAGTATCATAAAAATACAACTGTAGATTTTTGGCTGGTTGACCCGAAGGCAGGAGGTCATTTATGAAATGATACATTTTCCCTTGAACTCTAAACGTATAAATACCACAAGTTCTTCTTGCTAAATTTCTGTTATAATTCACTCCAAGAGAAGTAAATGTAAATATATTGTTATACAATCTAACATAAGTGCGAAAATGTTTGGATTCCTCAGAGTTTCCTAAATAAAGATTTAGGAGTTGAGCAGGTAGTCCATAGTGAATCAAATTCACTGATCCATTATCACAACAAAATCCCGGTGATTCATATTGAAATCTTTTGGCTCTACAAAATTTACAATTCGGTATAGTTTTCAGTCTATAAAGGCTATTGGGCAAGTCAATAATGTTCCACTGACCCAATTTTTATATCTACGACCTGTGGTTTTTGAGGTTAATCAAAGGGAAAAAATGTCAATCTCGAAAAATAAATGGTTGAAATGACTTTAAAGCTATAAGAAACCAAACCTCTATTTGTAGTGTTATGCATAGTAATATCATTTTGTTCAGCGCATGTTCCCGATGTGGACCCTAAGATATAAAGAATTAAGCATATAACTCTGGATGTTTAAACATTCTTCAAATTTGAACACCATACTTCCACACTTACCAAGTTCAAAAATACAGGAGCTATCACATACATCTTTGACGTTAATAGAAACAGGGGAATCTTGAACTGTGAAAATATTTTCTAAGACAAAAAAAAGTGTTATGAACGTATTAAATATGTAAATGTTTAATGTCTCATAGTTCGTTTCAAGATAACAAAATCTTAGTTTACAAACTTGTTCTCAGAATAGAAGATGAGACTCCTCTTAGAGAAACTGTTTGTTCAACAAACTCTCCATTAAATTTATAAGAGGTTGATACTTCAGTGGAAGTACTGATTGGCTTCTGTGTTCTAGAATGAAGATATGTCGACCGCCACTGCAATAAGTTCAGTTCTTTTCTATCAGCTGATGTCGCCCTATATATTTCACGGCGTCTTTATTTTATTTTGGTGCCTCTTTCTTTAGAGCATTGGCGTTTTCCTTTTTCTTGCCAGTATATTGAGTCCACATTTTTGCCCAGCCTAAACATCTTGGTAATTTCGTCTGTGAAAGTTTCACATAAATCAAACCAAAACTTACAAAAAAAATGTATGCACTACATAACACTGAACATCAGCATGCATTGTGGAGACGATACACAGAACAAAGTAACGAATTGTTGATGTAAAGTAGCCCCTAAAAGTGGCTACAATCAGCCCCCAAATTTAGCTCCTCTCACCTCCAAAACACAAATAAAACTAACCCCAAAAACCACTTAAAAACCAGATCTAAACATCCATGAAAACCATCTTGAAGCACTCTCAAAGCACCACCCAAAAACCAATAAAAATATACCAAACTTCATCTTTTAAAACCAGCAAAACTAGCCCAAAATTAGCCAGAAACTCAACAACTCTCGCCCTTTTCTCAGCCAAAAAAAAAAGCAAAAATTCTAGCTCTAAAAATAGCAACAAATTAACTGCGAAAATAGCCAAAAAAAAGCAACAAAAATTAGTTGAAAATCAGCAACAAACCCAGCTGCAAAAGCGCACCAAAATCTGACCCAAAACCACCTAAAAAATGCCCCTATTTTTTGCAAAAAAAAAAAAAAAAAAAAAAAAATTTAAAACTTTGAAATTTGTTTTAGGTTTAGGAAAAAATTAAAAATTAAAATAGCTAGCTTTTAGGAGTTTTTCAAGTGTTTCTTGATTTCAAAGTTTTAACAGAAAAAGTGACCCCTTTTGTTTGCCAAAACTTATCCAAGAGCACAAATTCCCAAAAAAGAAAATCATCTTATTTTCCTTCCAAAAGGTTTGAAGAGAGCTTTTAGGTAGCTATTTNCACATTCAAATTTGTCGAGCTCTCGTCCAAGGTTGTTTAAAAACTTTAATTTTGTATCCAAGTTGTTTTCTTTGCTTCTACTCAAGTTTAATTGGTTTTTCTCTTTATTGTATATACTGAAGATTAACACAATGGAGAAGAAAGAAACAAAAATTGTAGAATGCCTGAAAATTTAGCTTCGACAAACACACAAATATATAATTTACCTAGATCCCGGAGGAAACAATAGAAACCCAGTAGTAGTTGAGAATATTAGAGGGTAAATGGATCTAGGGTTAAATCAGAGGAAAAGAGCAGAGCTTTTCAAACCAATAAACACTGCAAACGTGGATTGTGTTACTGGAGAACTTTTGGTGATAGATTATGCATAAAGCAAAAGGAATTTTGGTGAGCGGTGGTGAGGAAAGTAGTAGGAAGAAGGTAGCTAATTCAAAAGGAAAAGTGATCACAAAACGCTATAAAGGCAAATTTTCATATAGATTAGCACCAAAGTTAACTCCAGTTGTCAAAGGGAAAAATCTACGTGCTTTGCTATTAATACATTGACTCAGCAACAGAGGCTAAGCCCGCAACTTTTAAACCATTTATTATCTATACAACTGGCCCTTCAATGCCCACAAAGTTTCCTTTATTTACTAAAAGTCACCTATGGCATTCAACGTAATAAAATAGAAAAATTATGGCAAAAATTATAACAGCCTAAGCTAGCATATTGACGAAGTGATGTCTTCCTCAGCTGCTTCACTCACACTTCTAATATAGTAGAAAAGAAATTATTGTTCTTACCTGTTGCTGGCACCAATCTTAATGGGAGCTTTGACAATTTCTGTAGGTTCTACCATTCTAGCTGCTGTTGTTTTTTTCCATTATACCACTTTTATGGTACGTGCTTTGCGCGTGTATTTATATCAAGAGGTACACAACAAATCACATAATATAAAAATAAAAAGTTAAAAAGAGTATGTTTGTTGAAAATAATGAATGTTAATCTCATTTAACTAACTCAATATAGGGTCGGCTCTAATGTGTTAAGTAGTAAGACTTGTGCCTTAGGTCCCCAAAATTTTAGGGGCCCCATTATTTAAATAATAGGTTTATAGGTATTTAAAAATTAATATTTAGTACATTTAATACAAAATTAAAGTTTTTAATATAAAAGGGAAAGAAAGCTCTTTAGATACATAAATAAAGTAATAATTTGACTTATTTTAAACATGGGTAGATGAAAAGTTTTTCTAGCGTTTCAATTTTTTACTTCTTACCCCTTCGTTAGATAACGTGTAAAAATTTTACTCTCCCTTTTTTAATTTGTCCAAGTTAATCTTTCTTTTCTCGATCTCTTCATATTTCAGAAACATCTACATTTTTCTATCTTTCTCTTTAATATTCTTACTCGCCTTCTTTCTCCAAGAAGTTTAAGCTTCCAATAGTTATATACTTTTGTTACTTTATAAAATCTAATTTAAAATTAACAATATCTCGAGAAAGATTAAATGAGTTGGCTATATTATCAATTGAAAATGAATTATTAGGGAAAATCAACTATAAAAAGGATTATTAACACTTTATATCTAAAAAAGCTAGAAAAATAGACTTTTAATAAAAACATATTGTATAACTTTCTTTTAAAAATTTAGGACTCATATTAAATTTTGGCTTTAGGTCCCTTATAGGACGAGGTGGATGACCACCAGTGCCACCAGCTGAGCCCACCAGAGGTCGTGGACGCGGTCGTGGTCGCGGCAGAGGCAGAGCAGCGAGGGTAGCACCTGTAGATCCACCAGCTGTCCTAGCTCCGGATTAGACTCCAGCTATGGATGCTCCAGCAGCACCATATCAGGCACCAGCTGTGCCCATCGTGATTCCGGGTCTTCAGGAGGCCTTGGCACAGATCTTATCAGTTTGCACTAGCCTGGCTCAGGCAGTTTCAGCTAATATAGCAGCAGCTACTTCACAGGCCGGGGGAGGTAATCAGATCCCCGCTGCTAGCACCCCTAAGCAGGTAGTGCAGGGACTTCAGACATCGGGGGCACCTCCAGCCCAGCCGGTTGCACCAGCTCAGGAGTTTGTTGTGCCAGTTATGCCAGATGATGAGCAGCGTCATCTTGAGAGGTTTGGTAGACTCCAGCCTCCAACATTCAGCGGAGTATAGGGCGAGGATGCCCAGGGTTTTCTAGATAAGTGCCAGTGGATGCTCCGTACAGCTAGGATTCTTGAGTCCAGTGGTGTGGCATTTACCACCTTTCAGTTTTTTGGGGCTGCCTTCACTTAGTGGGAGGCGTATGAGAGGCGTAGGCCTGTGGCAGCAACGCCCCTCACTTGGCAGGAGTTCTCCACTCTCTTCTTGGAGAAGTATGTACCGCAGTCTCGCAGAGAGGAACTGCGTAGACAGTTTGAGTGGTTGCGACAGGGGGATATGACTGTCATAGTATGAGTCGAGGTTTTCTGAGTTGGCTCGTCATGTCGTTTGGATGGTTCCGACAGATCGTGAGAGGATCAGGATATTTGTTGATGGCCTTAACTATCATCTCTGTATTCTTATGACTAGAGAGAGAGTGTTGGGTGCTACGTTCGAGGAGGTGGTTGATATCGCTCGCGAGATTGAGACGGTTCGCCGTCAGGATCGAGAGGAGAGGGAGGCCAAGAGGCCTCGAGGATCGGGCAGTTACAGTGGTGCTCTTTCGAGGGGCCAAATCCAGCATGGTAGAGGTCATTCTTTCAAGCCTTCTCAGTTGGCCCGTCCAGAGTATCGCGGGGCTTCTTCAGGTCGTGGTTATCATGGCTCTCAGCAGGGCCAGCCTTCACTCAGCGCCCTTCCAGCTCAGAGTTCATCTCGTGCCCCATCGGCTCAGGGTTCTCTATGCTAAGTGCATCAGCTAGTCACTCCAGTGCGCGGGGTTCCCTTCAGTCCCCTTCTCCAGCACCTGGGAGTTATTTTGAGTGTGGAGAGTTTGGGCATGTGTGGAGGCAGCATCCTCGTCGTGTTGCCAGTTCGTCCCAGCAGAGGGGTCAGACCTCAACTTTTGCTCCAGTTACTTCACCACCCGCCCAGCCAACTAGGGGTGGAGGTCAGGCAACCAGGGGTCACCCTAGAGGGGGAGGTCGATCAGGGGGTGGTCAGGCCCATTTCTATGCACTTCCAGGCAGGCCATACGCCATTGCTTCAGACGCTGTCATTACAGGTATTGTTTTAGTTTGCCACTGAGATGCCTCTGTGTTATTTGATCCCGGTTTCACCTTTTCTTATGTATCATCATACTTTTCTCATTATTTGGGTACGCCCCGTGAGTTTCTTGCTTTACTTGTTTATATATCTACCCCGGTGGGCGATACTGTTGTTGTAGACCATGTGTACCAGTCATGTGTGGTGACTATTGGGGGTCTGGAGACCTGGGTGGATCTATTGCTATTGAGCATGGTAGATTTTGATGTCATTTTGGTGCATGGATTGGTTATCTCTATGTCGTGCTATTCTGGACTGTCATGCTAGGACAGTCACTTTGGCTATGCCGGGATTACCACGGATCGAGTGGTGTGGTGTGACTGATCATGTTCCTAGTAGAGTGATATCTTTCTTGAAGGCCCAGCATATGGTTGGGAAGGGTTGGTTGTTATATCTAGCGTTTGTGAGAGATGTTGGAGCTGAGACTCCCAGTATCGATTCTGTCCCAGTTGTGAGGGATTTTCCCGATGTGTTTCCTGCAGACCTGTCGGGCATGCCACTGAATAGGGATATTGATTTTGGTATTTACTTGGTGCCGGGCACTCAGCCCATTTCTATTCAGTCGTATCGTATGGTACTAGCAGAGTTGAAAGAATTGAAGGAGCAGCTTCAAGAACTCCTAAATAAGGGGTTCATTCGGCCTAGTGTGTTACCTTGGGGTGCGCCCGTTCTGTTTGTGAAGAAGAAGGATGGCACCATGAGAATGTGCATTGATTATAGGCAATTGAACAAAGTAACAAATAAGAACAAGTATCCATTGCCTTGCATTGATGATTTATTTGACCGGCTTCAGGGAGCGAGAGTGTTCTCCAAGATTGATCTCCGTTCGGGTTATCACCAGTTGAAGATCAGGGATTCAGATATTCTTAAGACTGCTTTCAGGACCAGATATGGTCAATATGAGTTCCTTGTGATGTCTTTAGGGCTAACCAATGCCCTAGCAGCATTCATGCATTTGATGAACAGTGTATTTTGACCTTATCTGGATTCGTTTGTCATTGTATTCATTGATGATATTCTGGTGTACTCGCGTAGTCAGGAGGAGCACACAGAGCATTTGAGAGTTGTGTTGCAGAGATTGAGGGAGGAGAAGCTTTACGCAAAATTCTCCAAGTGTGAGTTTTGGCTCAGTTCAGTGGCTTTCTTGGGGCACATGGTGTCCAGCGAGGGTATTCAGGTTGATCTGAAGAAGATAGAGGCGGTTCAGAGTTGGCCCAGACTGTCCTCAGCCACAGAGATTCGTAGCTTTCTTGGGCTAGCAGGCTATTATCGCTGGTTTGTTCAGGGATTCTCATTTATCGCATCGCCCTTGACCAAGTTGACTTAGAAGGGCGTTTTATTTGTATGGTCAGACTAGTGTGAAGAGAGCTTTCAGAAGCTCAAGACAACTTTGACCACAGCTTCAGTATTGGTTTTGTCATCAGCTTCAGGTTCATATACCGTATATTGTGATGCTTCGAGAGTTGGGATTGGTTGTGTATTGATGCAGGAGTGTAGAGTTATTGCTTATTCTTCTCAACAATTGAAGCCCCATGAGAAGAACTACCCCGTTCATGATTTAGAGTTGGCTACCATAGTTCATGCATTGAAGATTTGGAGGCATTATTTGTATGGTGTATCTTGTAAGGTATTCACCGATCATCGCAGTCTTCAGTATTTGTTCAAGCAAAAGAATCTTAATTTGAAGCAGCAGAGGTGGTTGGAGTTGCTTAAGGATTATGATATCACTATATTGTACCATCCGGGAAAGGCCAATGTGGTGGCCGATGCTTTGAGCCGAAAGGCAGTGAGTATGGGGAGTTTGGCATATATTCCAGTTGGGGAGAGACCTCTTGCAGTTGATGTTCAGGCCTTGGCCAATCGGTTTGTGAGATTGGATATTTCAGTGCCCAGTCGGGTGTTGGCGTGTGTGGTTTCTCGGTTTTCTTTATATGATCACATCAGAGAGCGCCAGTATGATGATCCGCATTTGCTTGTCCTTAAGGACAGAGTGCAGCATGAGGATGCTAGAGACGTGACCATTGGTGATGATGGTGTGTTGAGGATGCAGGACCGGATTTGTGTGCCCAATGTGGATGGGCTTCGAGAGTTGATTCTGGAAAAGGCCCATAGCTCGCGGTATTCCATTCATCCGGGTGCCACAAAGATGTATCAGTATTTGAGGCAGCACTATTGGTGGAGAATAATGAAGGAAGATATTATGGGATTTGTAGCTCGGTGTCTCAATTGTCAGCAGGTGAAATATGAGCATCAGAGACCGGGTGGCTTGCTTCAGTAGATGATTATTCCTGAGTGGAAGTGGGA